TATTGACATCTATTTCTGTTTTCCTGTCAAGAGAACATTATGGGCTGGGGAGATGGCTCAGCAGTTAAAGCCGCACAGGCCAAGAGGACTGAAGTTTGGACCCCCAAAACCCATGTAAATGCTGGGTGACTGGGGCTTTTCACCTGCAATTCCAATTCAAGTCTCGGCCGAAGCGAGCTGGCTAGCAACAGGAGCAGTATCAGTCAGTGAAATCTGGGTTTGACTGAGAGACCCAACAGGAGCAGTATCAATCGGTGAAATATGGGTTTGACTGAGAGTCCCTACCTTAGTGAATAAGGTGGAAGAGGAATAGAGGAAGACATCCAACATCAATCTAAGATCTCTAAACACACATGTGTCCACACATATGCAAGCATGTGTACACATGTATAAACACACCACACATGGATACACATAAAAAAGAGTCCCCCGCAAAAGAAAAAGAATGCATATTACCTTGGAAGGTCACCAGTTCTGAAGATGGCCAACTTTTACTCCCTGGGGCCTCCTGAAATGAATTGTGTCACCTAAACACTGCTAAAATGGTCCTGATGCTAGGCTGTCCCTGGGTGCTCAGAGATTGCCATGTCCTGATGCTAGGCTGTCTCTGGGTGCTCAGAGATAGCCATGTCTGGTGTTAGTCTCCACGTCCCTCTCTTCCTTGTTCTCTGTGACACCGTCTGGATTCTGGGCTGACCTCTCCACATCCCTCTTCCCCTTGCCATTGCTCTGTCACCTGCATGGCTTATCTGTTGGGAACAGAGGCAGGACCTTGAAATGAGGTCCCCATGAATAGACTGTCTGATATCAGGACTGTGTAATCTTTGGTGCCCATGTCTCTCTCCATATAGTCAGGAAAATGACAGAATTTACCTCGTAGTTTTGGGAACAAATGGTTTCTCTATAGAGTGTGGGCCCTCAAAACTTTTGTATCATTGTTCCTATTTATACCAAGAGTTAGCAGCCTTTTTCAAATGACTAATCAGCGTAGCAGTGTCTTGACAGCAGCGATGTGATCTGGGGAACTTGTCATTAGACACGTGTGTTCCTGACTGTCATCGCCTATACAGGCTAGGCTATGACATCACTTGGTGGCAGCTGTGGTTCATGACTGATTTCACTTTCTCGGCCATATAGTCAGCACAAAAGCCACAGACAAATGTTAAGAAATTGCACAGCGGGACGTGGTGTGTGTACTTGTAATCCCAGCAGTCTGGAGGCAGAGACAGATCAAAAGTTCAAGACTTCCCTGGGCTACTTTAAGCCCCTCCCCACCGCCAGGAAAGAGGGAGGGAAGGAGAGAGGGAGGGAGGGAGGGAAGGAAGGAGGGAAGGAAGGAAGAAAATGTGCATGGTTGTGTTCAAATAAAACACAAGGCAGTAAACAGCCAGCCAGGTACTTCTCGATTGTCCCCACATTGCCTTGTGCCGTCAGTTTTTCTCTCTTGACCAAGTCAGGGCTGGGTGCTTAGGTTGCTGGGGATCAGGGGAAGTGGTCCTCACAGGGTCCCGTCTGGGTTGTCTCCTGGTGAGGGAACAGTGGGCTTGACCACTAGCTACAACTCTGCAACTTTCTCTGGCCCGGGGTCTGGGCGCTCACTGCTTCTCTTTATGTTCTTTCTCCATCTGCTTGTGCGGATGGATCCATTTCTACTGGATGTTAGTAACTTTTGCACATTTTGCTAAGAATAAGTGACAACATCCACCATTTGAGCCATTACTTGCTTCCTTCCTACAGTGGTGTGGCCTTAAAAGCGTTAGGGATCTGACTGTAGAGTGTTGAGGGCAGTGCCTATCCCAATACGTCTCCCTTGGGGTTTTGGTATGGCTGTGTGACCAAAGGGACTGTGGGCAGTGCCAGGTGCCTGTGTGCAGGCGTTGACCCCAACCTGGCTGAGAAACATAGCCGTGGCCCAAGACAGCATCTGAGGCTGAGGAACTTGGTGCAGGGAGTACCTGCCAGGTGCAGAGCTAACTGCGGGAGCAGATAGGACCCTGTGTTGTCAGGGCCACAAACACCCAGACCAACCCAAGTCGCCTACGGGGCAGTCCATATGGTACTCCTGGGGATTTCTGCTGTGAAAAAAATGTTGAGAACAATACCAAGGTTTTGTCTGTAAAACCCTCCCCTCCAAAGTCCTTAGTTTCACAGCTGCTTTTATGACAGAAACAGGAAGAAGGGGACGGGGAGGCAGCAGGATGGCTTATTGGTTAAGGCATCTGCTCACCCCTGACAGCCTGGCTAGGTAGAGGGAAAGAACCGACCCCCGATCCTCACATGCATATTGTGACAGTACACCCCGCCAAATAGATGAAAGAAAGTAAGGCATTGTGTACACCTGTAATCTCAGCACTAAGAAGCCCAAGGCAGGAGGAAAGAGAGCGGCTTGGCCTGTGTTGTGAGTTCCTCGATAGGGAGTGAAGGAAGAGAGACACAGCCCCGATACAGAGACAGAAATCTACCATGTGTAGAAATCCACCATGGCCTCTCTTGACAGAGATTCTGCCTTTCCGCTTTTTGGGGGGCTGAACATCCTCCAGGCTAGGATGTGTGCCTGTGTTTCTTGGAAGTGACCTAAGTTTCTCCCTATTATGGGACGCCATTATCACCAAGTGGTAGAAGTGTTGGCACCTGAGGAAAGGGCTCGGCCCCTCCCTGATGGCAGGACCCGTTACGTTTGCGATTCCTGGTAGGGGGAGAAGATTCATGCTTTGCTTTGTAGTCGTCCAGAGAGTCTGGAGGAGATCCCTCCGACTAGTTTTGAGATGTTAGGTGTCTTGCGGAGTCTGACAAGCGTCATGGGACCCACCTCCCAAGGTGCCATGGTGGTTATGAGAGTTGACACGTGGAAGCATTTGAATGCTTCTTCGTGGCTCAGGGCTGCGTGCCCTGCTTGTCTGCACCAGGGAGGCTGCCTCTCTCAGGGCTAGAGCACAAACACCTTTGCCTTTATGGACAGCAACAGAAAAGCTGCCGCAGTTGGTGTGCACTGGTTCTGCCGTGTGCATTGGGTTCTTCTCTCAGCCGCAGTGTCACAAGTCCCTGTGGGGAGCGTCTGTCTGTGCCGAACGTGTGCTGGCACATGTGGTGGTGGGGTGGAGCTATGACTCCACACACGCTAGGCAACACACTACTGCTGAACTGCACCCCAGGTCAGATTCTGATTTCCCTTGCCTTTTTTCCCTAACAATACAAGGTAATAATTTGCATGGTTTTCTCATTGTGTTGAGGGTTTGAGCAGTGCAGACCTGATTTACACTGTAGCATAGCTTCTTCCGTTTTACATGCAAGGCTTGAGCAGCAATGGTTTTGCCATTGAAGAGGGTCATGCAGCCAGTTCTCCAGGAACACCAAGAGCCAGCTATACACGTAATCAGTATGATGATGTTTCAGTAAAACTTTACTTTCAGAGTAGACTGCAGCAGGCCTGTGGATCCCCAGGGGCAAAGCAAGGGGTTTCGTAGAAGATGGAGAAGCCTTCTTCCATAGAGCCTGGAATATTGAATACTATTGGAGGAAGGTGGTGTCCTCAGCCCTAACACAAGCATACTAGATTTTCTTTGGAACCAGGACATCTGGGGCTGACTTAGGGGAACTATATATATATATATATATCCTCATCTGGTGCTGGGGTCTTTTGTTCTGATTTCCACATATTAGGAATTGTTTTTCATATAAGTATGTAATTTGAAATTTGGCAAGTGGTTTATCGCCGGTTAACTTGCTATGTTGGTTTTTCCATCTTCCCTGGCTTCTTGCCCAAGCTTTGGAGGCCAAATGCAGGCATCTGCCCACAGCAGAGTCACAGTTAGCCAGCGAGGTTCATTCAGTCCAGTGTGTGCTGAGAGCTCCTACAGGAGCCAGGAGGTGAAGGGTTTGCTTGTTCCTTCCAACACTGGCTCCCACCCTCTGCTGGTGGGCCTCCAAACCGTGAGCCGCAGACTGCAGATAAACAGTCCAGGCAAATGTGAGCTGCCAGCCCAGATGTCCCCAAGGTGCCCTCAGCGGGGCATCTCGGGAAATTATTGTGAATTGGATTTTGAAAATTAAGTCTTATTAAATGCAGCAAAGATCTCATTAGTGAAAGAAAACACATGGCCAGTGTTAGGAGACGTGAGGGCCGTGTGCTGGATCCTGACCTCTGCCTGACCCCTGCTGCCCTTCCTCTTACCTGCAGCCCCCAGCGGCCAGGCTGCACCCCTGAGTCAAGCCCATTCTTGTCCGGCTGCTGGCAGATCCGTTCAGCTCAGCCTGGCTTCTCCTCACTCTCCTCCCTGATCCACGCTGACCCCCTCTCACCAGGTAGACAGGTGTCTCTGTGGTTCCTGGCCCTGTCCTTTTACACGTTCCTGAGGTCCATCCACATGCAGAGACTAGAGCAGCCAACCCCTAATCCATGTCCCCTGATATGTGTCCACACCTGCCCTGTCGGTCCCCTTAGTCCATCTGAGCCAGACTTGTCCCACCTCCAGGACGGCCCCCAGCTCTTTGCTCCTCTGCTCCTTCTTTGGTCACCTGCTCACCCATCCCTAACCCCAGGGCCCCTGCCACTATCTCTGCCTTTGTGTGCGTGTGCGCACAAACATGCGTGCACCCTAAAACAGACCTAGCACCATTGGGAACACAGAGACAAAATGATAAGCAAACGAATGCCTAAGTCTCTTTCTTCTTCTGTGAAAACAGTGTCCTACCTTAGTATCATGTGATAAACTCACATCCAACATGGTCTGAACCCATGCCTCATGCCTCACCAATCGAAATGCCAAACTCAGCCTCAGCTTTCCTTTCACCCTGGGTTTTTTTCTGCTGACCTCCCTAAGCTCTCGGGTGGCCCGCACCCCCTAGTTGTAGGTACTTAGGAATCACTCTGAGAGGCAGCAGGCTAGCACCCTGTGGAGACTCCACTCTGGCCACCTTGCTGGTGCCTTTGACGAGAATGAACCTAGCTCGTGCTTCAGGGCAGTTTTGGTCCCTGATCCTTTGCCCTTCTCTCCTGCCAGGTTGTTCCTGGTCATAGAATATGTCAACGGCGGGGACCTCATGTTCCACATGCAGAGGCAGAGGAAGCTACCAGAAGAGCACGCCAGGTGGGTCCAGATCCACGGAGAGTGTGGCCTGGGGAAACCACCCTCAGGCCAGCAGTGAAAAGAGCAGGGTGGACTTTGCCGTGGTGTAAGGGATTCCGGAACCTCCGGGGAAGCTGGCCCCTCCCAGACCTTGAGCAGAAGCCCCTCGCTCGGGAGAGCAGGCTCTCTGGGCTGTTTTTACATTCGTGACATCTTGGCTTTGTCCTCCTCTCTGTAAGTCCCACATCCCTCAGTGGCAGAGCACAGCAGGTCTCTGCTGGCATCCAGAGAGAATCCACTGGTCCTGCTTCTGGCCTTGGACGGCTGCCATCCAACCCACTGTCCTGGTGCTTCCCCTGCAGCCCGGGCCTTGTAGGAAGGCTGGGGAGATTTAAATTCGGGTGGCCCCTTCTTATCCACCTTAGATCCCCCCTCCATGAAGTCCTGTGCATCATCACCTAGGCTTCCTCCGAGGGAAGTGGGCAGAAGCAGCAACCATTTATTGCCTGTCTGCTTGCCTTTTATAAAACTCATGGTAAAATGCACACAGTATTAATGTTACCATTTCAGAGATTTTAAGTCTATAGGTAGTTCAGAGCCATAAAGCTGACCACACTGCTACGCAGCCGCCACCACCACACACAGAGCCTCTTTATCTCCCACAAAGGAACCTGTACCTGTGAATGCTGACTCCCCAGGCTCCTGATCTCCAGCCCTGGGTACCTCTGTCTGATTCCAGAGTTCTCCCTGAGCAGAATCTCAAGTCACCTGTCTTTCTGTATGTTTGACTTGATATGATGTCTTCGTGATTCACTGTGTAGTCATCTCTTCTGCAGTGGGACGTGCTGCCCTGTCACCTAGACAGGCCTCAGACTTGCAACCATGAGCCAGCCTTTCCCACCCACATGTCCCCTGTCCCCTCTCCCGTCAGCGCTTGCTTCCACATTGTAGCTTTTATGAATAAGGTCGCTGTGGACATAGGTGTTAAATATATGTGTTTAAGGCCCTGCTTCCAATTCTTTTCTTTTTCTTAATTCAGTTTTTTAAATTAGCATACAAAGTAATGGGTTTCGTGATGGCATTTTTCACATATGCATTGTTCTTATTGGTCCTCCTCTGCTATCTCCAGCCCTGGGCACATGTGCATTAGTAAAGGTGTTTAGCGTGTCTTCTTTCTATTTTTCATGATTGTTTGTTCTGGTGCTGGAGACCATACTGATGAAGCTAGGCAGGAGCTTTTCCATCATGTTGCACTCAGCCCCAGTTTCCATGTTCTGAGGACACATTTTTCATTCAGTGAATTCCATACAGTGGTCCACAGGGCTCCAGCTTCCTACGTCCTCACCACTTACTCTGGTTGTGTTGAATAGACATTCTGGTGGCTAGGAGGTAGAATCTCACTATAATTTAAGTTTGCATTTCCCTGGTGACCAGGATGCATTGTGGGGATCTGTGTGTGCCAGCCCCCGGCTGGCTGGCTGCCACGGTCCCTCTGCTGACTACAGAATGCCCCCACCTCAGGTTCTATGCTGCTGAGATCTGTATTGCTCTCAACTTCCTACATGAGAGAGGGATCATCTACCGGGACCTGAAACTGGACAACGTCCTCCTTGATGCTGACGGACACATTAAGCTGACGGACTACGGCATGTGCAAGGTGCCTGCCCCGCCCATCCTCCGCCTTGCCTGTCCGCCCTTGTCATCCCGACTGGGCACAGCTCGGGTGGCCATGCCGAGGCACCCCTGCCCGTGGCCGTTCACTCCTAAGGGGCGCCCCTGCACGTGAGGGTCGCCCTGCTGATAACTGTGTCCCCGCAGGAGGGCCTAGGCCATGCCGAGGCACCCCTGCCTATAACCGTTCACTCCTAAGGGGCGCCCCTGCACGTGAGGGCGCCCCTCTGATAACTGTGTCCCCACAGGAAGGCCTAGGCCCAGGCGACACAACAAGCACTTTCTGTGGAACCCCGAACTACATTGCCCCTGAAATCCTGCGAGGAGAAGAATACGGTGAGTACAGGGGCACATAGGAGGCAAATGTAGGCGGACACCCTACAGAAGTCGCCACCTGCCACCTGGCGATGTTCACCCGGAGCAGGAACCCGCCCGGCCCACCCCTACAAGGGCCCTGTCAACAATAGGCAGGGAGAGCACCATGGCCATGTGGCACCCGGAGACAACACACCACACCCCTTGGTGTCTCCCAGATGCCTGTTACCCCCTTCGTACCTTCTCAAGCCCACTGGGTGACCCTGAACAATGTCCTCTCCCTGACCAGGGTGGGGAGAATGAAAAGGATCTTGAAACAAAGATAAGACAGACCCAGGGTCAGGTCACAGCACCGCAGGTTGACGGCCACTGGCCATGCATATGTAGAAGAATCAAGGTATCCTTGGGAATGGTAGAAGTGCCCCAGTCAGGATCCAAAGCAGAGAGCAATCGATCTGGGAAACCCTGTAGACACAACGGTATACATCTGCTCCTCCTCTTTGAGTGGAAGCCATCATACATATCCATGTGTGGAGATGGGCTGGCATACATGTACAGGTACATATACATCTATGTGGTGGGGAGAATATGTAGCATGCAATAAGTGTGTGCATGTGCATTTGCTAATTGTGCACACAGATTCATTATGTATGAACATATACATGGTATACGTGTGCTTGTGCACACACCCACCTTTGCATGCAAGAGTTTTCCTGTCACGCAGGTGGGATTACAGACATGTGCTATTTATCCCTGACTCATGCTGGTGGCGTCAGTGAAGCCAGTCATAAATACACCTTCCCATAAATGAGTGTGCAGCCGGCAGCGTGTGCGGATCACTGACCGAGAGAATGACTGGGCTCCTAGAAGCTGCTTCAGTTGCAGTTGCTCGGTAACCAGAGAAGGAAAGATGGCAGGGTGGAGCCAGAAACCAGTCTAGAACCAGCCATGGTTCCAACCTGATTCTGTGTATGATGGAGCAGATGTTCAGAGACCGCAGGGATGGCCAGGCTGTCTAGGACAGAGCTGAAAAAAAGAAAAGAAAAAAAAAAGAAAGAAAGAAAAAGTAGTGAAGGCAGAAGGGTCTATAGCAAACTGATTCTTCCGTCAGAGAAGTGCATTCCGGCTGGTTCTATTTGGACAGCACTGGGGATTGAAGGTAGAGCTCTCTCCCACTGAGCTGCGCTCCTCAGTAAGAAGGAGACTTTGTAACCTTAAATGAAAACAAGAAGAAAGCCAGTTATGGTGGCATGCACTCCAGAGCCTGGGGCAGCAGTCACAGTTGAAGGCCAGCGAGATGATAATAATAATATAACAATGATGACTGGAGCAAGGCAGGGTCCGTTCTTGGACCCATTCTGCACGTTTGTGCAGCAAACCCAGCAGAGCCAGAGGGCCAGGTAACAGCCTGGGTAACCCACAGTGAAGTGGAGGAGTCACAGCCGCACACCAGCTCCACAGTGTCTAAGGAAACAGATGCCCGGGGCAGTAAGCGATCCAACCGCCCGCGAAGATGGATGCTGGCATCCTTTGGCGCATTCACAGTCATGGGCTGGCTGTGTCGGCTTCCCAGCCACCTCCCGCCTAGTGACTGCCCGCTTTTCCCCAGGGTTCAGCGTGGACTGGTGGGCGCTGGGCGTCCTCATGTTTGAGATGATGGCTGGGCGCTCTCCCTTCGATATCATCACGGACAACCCTGACATGAACACTGAAGATTACCTTTTCCAAGGTTGGTGGCCTCCTTGCCTCTGCATGTTCTTTCTTCCCTTCTCAAAGGTGGATGGAAGGCACTGCCCAGGCTGGTGCCTCAGCACTAGAACAAGCCGTACAGAGCCGCTCCTCTGGCGGAGAATGTGAGGTGACCATAGTTCACCATCAGTCACCCAGAGGGAGAATGCTCTGATGTAGCCAGAACCCCTTCTGCCCAGCCAGGTTCACTCCCTGTAGCCCCTGGCAGCCACACCCCCATGCCCCACATTCCCCCCCCCCCCCCACCCACACCCCTTACTCCTGACCAGAGTTAATGGCCATTAGTTTGCCCCTCAGGGCTGTCCCTCAGCGCCCTCTGGTGACCGGTGTGCAGAGGCCTCCACGTGCCTAGGACCAAAAGGCAGTGTGTGAGGAGCTGTTGGTTCACACGTTTGTGCCATGTGTGCCACCAGGAGGTTCCTAGAAGGACCCAGAAGGCGTCTGGAACAAGAAGGGTTTCCGCGGCTACAAGTCCGAGCTCTGGCTTAAAAATGGGTTTCAAGCTAGGTGTGGGTCGCATGGCCTTATAATCCCAGCTACTTAAGGCGTAGCAAGAAAATCAGGAGTTCAAAGCCAGCAGGATTTATGGCAAGATTCTGCCACCACCCCCCCCCCAAAAAAAGCGAACAGTGTTTAGGAGTCCTGTAGGCTTCCGGGAAGAGTGAACACTGCCAGGGGGTCATCTCACTTGGGTTCTATCCACACAGTGATCCTGGAAAAGCCAATCCGGATCCCCCGCTTTCTGTCCGTCAAGGCCTCACACGTCCTGAAAGGGTTTTTAAATAAGGTATGCTCTGGCTGTGGTGACAGAATACCCTCTTGGGAGAGCGGGTGGTGACAGAGTTCCCCTACTGAAGCTGTTCTGTGTGGGTTTGGTCCTAGGCGTTGGCACTGGGGCTCTCTGTGTTCAGAGACTTTATTACTTGTTTGTTTATTGTTTCATGTGCATTGATGTTGTGCCATGGGTGTCTGGTCCCCTGGAACTGGCGTTACAGACAGTTGTAAGCTGCCATGTGGGTGCTGGGAATTGAACCCTGGTCCTCTGGAAGAGCAGTCAGTGCTTTTAACCACTGAGAGTCATCTCTCCAACCCCCAAAAGAATGAGAGTCCAAAGTTTGCTTACTCTTCTTTTTTTTTTTTCCTTTTTTCTTTAAGACAGGGTTTCTCTCTATAGCCTTGGCTAGAACTGGTAGAACTTTTCCTAGAACTGGCTCTATATACCAGGCTGGCCTTGAACTCACAGAGATCCTCCTGCCTCTGCCTCCTGAATGCTGGGATCAACAGTATGTGCCACCACCGCCCAGTGAGTTTAATTTTTATTGATACTTAGCATAACAAACTAAGAAAGTAACCCTTTGGGGAAGGGATTCCAACAGAGGGACGGTCACACCCAGCTGGACAGGAGAGCAGCTGGAGACAGTGAGCTCCCGTGGGGGGAACTGGGTCATCCTGTTGGGTAGGGGCTGAATCAGGGGTTTTCTTGGGAGTCCTGACTCACCGTTATTTGCACTCTGGGCCCCCCCCCCCCCCCCCAGGATCCCAAAGAGAGGCTTGGCTGCCGGCCGCAGACTGGATTTTCTGACATCAAGTCCCATGCCTTCTTCCGCAGCATAGACTGGGACCTGGTAAGCCTCGGGTCCTTGTGCCCATTCCGTGAGATGGGCTGCACTCGTTCGTAGTCAGAGTGGCCCCATGTGCGCTTGGGTGCCTGGTAATGGTGTCTGGGCCCCGAGGGGCACTTTGTTTAGTGTGGTTAGTTTCCCAAAGCTGCCCAAACCCCATCTGCCCTATCACTAGTTACTGGCAGGGTAGCAAGCACAGACTTCAAGGTTCTGAGTTGCGTCCATTCCTGATATTAGGAGAAAGACAAACAAACAAAAAAACTTGTTTCAAAATAAATGATTGGAAAGTTACTAAAACGTCACCTATAAAATATGCCCTTTTAGCCGGGTAGTGGTGGCACACGCCTTTAATTCCAGCACTCAGGAGGCAGAGGCAGGTGGATCTCTTGTGAGTTTGAGGCCAGCCTGGTCTACAGAGAGAGTTCTAGGACAGTCAGGGTTGTTACACAGAGAAACTCTGTGTCAAAATAATACACCATTTTGAGGGAAAATATAAAAGTTAACCCATTGAGTAAATCTGGAACTTGCCCAGCTGTGGTACATGGACACTCTCCTCCCCAAAACCATCTTGACCTTTCAGACGGCCTAGCATTTAGCCAGTCACGTGTTTGTTGTTGTTTCTGTTTTCCAAAACAGGGTTTCTCTGTGTAGCCCTGGCTGTCATGGAGCGCGCGCTCTGCCTCTCTCTCTGTCTCTGTCTCTGTCTCTCTCTCTCTGTCTCTCTCTCTCTCTCTCTAGATTTGCCTGCCTCTGGAATCAAAGGTGTATGCTACCACCACCCGGTACAACCAGTCACTCTCTATTTACAGGACTGTTTGTCTAGCGTACTGTGAGGAACAGGGAGGGACCAGGCTGCAGAGGCAACAGGTGCTCAGGACAGGCGATGCCTCCAACCCATATCTCTTCTAGAGCCACACAACCAGAATCTCTCGTTCACTCCCTTGTTTGGGTGTAAATATCTATTCGGTGCATTGACGTGTTTTAACATTGGGGTGTGTCTGTGTGTGTATGTCTGTGTGTGTGTGTGCATCTGTGTCTGTCTGTCTGTCTGTGTGTGTGTGTTTATGTGGGTGTGGGTATTTGTGTGTCTCTGTGTCTGTGTCTGTCTGTGTGTGTCTCTGTGTGTGTGTGTGTATGTGTGTGTTTATATGGGTGTGGGTATGTGTGTCTGTGTGTGTGTGTATCTGTGTATCTGTGTGTCTCTATTTGTGGGTGTGTCTCTGGGTGTGTGTGTGTGTGTGTGTGTGCATCTGTGTCTGTCTATCTGTGTCTGTGTTTATGTGGGTGTGGGTATGTGTGTGTCTCTGTGTGTGTCTGTGTCTGTGTCTCTGTGTGTGTGTGTGTGTGTGTCTGTGTGTGTGTGTTTATGTGGGTGTGGGTATGTGTGTGTCTCTGTGTGTGTCTGTGTGTCTGTGTATGTGTTTGTGTGTTTATGTGTGTGTGTGTGTGTCATATGGAGGTCAGAGAACAACTTTTGAGAGTCAGTTCTCTCCTCCCACGATACAGGTCTAGGGACAAACTGAGGCTGTTTTTGGCATCAAGCGCCATTATCTGCTGAACCATCTCACTCGCCCTTGGTACTTAAGAACCAATTCTGTCAGCTTTTAATTTCACTTTCTATCTCTGGCTGCATCAGAGGGAAGCCGTGGGTTTCTTTCTAACTCAGTTCTTCACGATGCAGCCCAACTTGGCCCAGGCCACGTAGTGGCAAATGTTACCCACAGGCTCACTGCCTGCCCAGTCTTTGAAACCTGTCACCCCCCACTCTGATACGGAGTCGTGTATTGACCAGGCAGGTCTATGAGTGGGGTACAGGGAGAATCCTGCATCTCTCCTAACCACCCTCCCTCCGCCTTGCTCCTCCTCTGAGCCTGCCTCACCAGGGTCCACCCCTTCTGAGCCTGTAGAATCTGAGTTCTTCCTCTGGCCCTGGCCCTGGCCCTGGCCCTGGCCTCCCATGTGGCATCAGTAGCAGCCAGGCCCTCGTCTCCAATCACCGTTGTCTCACCATAAGTGAGTGGATATGATATAAATAGTGTCTCATTTCAGCCCAGCTGCCTCTATGCCAGCCAGCCAAGTGGTTCTGAGCAGCAAGAGGGGAGGGACGGAGGAGGTCTCCCCCTGCCTCGTGCACATGGCTCAGTGGTTCTTAGCACATCTTGTGGGCTGGAGCCTTGTCGCAGAGCCTCTCCACCCCAGCCCAGCGGACTTGTGCCGTGGGTCGTCACGTCTATCCTTCCGTGGCCATAGCCAACTGTGCTCTGTCTTGCGATTCGATTCACAACTCTGCCTTGAAAGGAGGCGCATCCAGGAGGTGGCCTCACATTCTGGCACGCTCTGCTCAGTGAAGCATCTTCAAGGGATTATCTTTGTCGTGGTGATAAACATGTTACATGCCTTCACGGTTGTCTGGTGTTGCATTGCACAGATGGACCACGTATTTGTCCACTCACCCACTGGTGGTCACGTGGGTGGGACCCACCTTCTGGTTCTTAGATTGTTGAGCGGCCTACGTAGCCTGTCTGTTGGGACTCTTGGCTAGTTTTCTTGGGGATCTTCCTCTAGATGAGCCAGGCTTATTTTTGGGGTAAGGTCCCTGTAAGTAGCCTGGTAGACTGGCAGGAGCCAGCCCACTACACCTACCTCCTCCCTGAACTGACACTGTTCCTATGGCACAGTCTGTTCTAAGGTCCCCAGGACCATCCTCCATCCTGAGTGCTATGGGACAGAGGGCATCATTGACAGGCTCAAGTTGTCATAACAGTGGCTGTCCTCACAGACTGGGGAGGGAAGGTTCAACCTGAATCCTGGGTTTCTGCTTCAGACAAGTTCAGGGGGGTAGTCTTGATGAATGTAAGTGGGTAGAGATACAAATGAGACCCTCAGCTGGGCGGTGGTGGTACACGCCTTTAATCCCAGCACTTGGGAGGCAAAGGCAGGCAGATCTCTGTGAGTTCGAGGCCAGCCGGGTCTATAAGAGCTAGTTCTAGGACCGCTAGGGCTGTTACATAGAGAAACCCTATCTCAGAGAGAGAGAGAGAGAGAGAGAGAGAGAGAGAGAGAAAGAGAGAGAGAGAGAGAAAGAGAAACCCTCTTCTAGGGACAGAGATACAGCTTTCTGCCTACCCCCGTGGCTGATCTGAGAACTACCGTCTTCATGGCAAACCATTCCTGATAGTGACCTTGCGCTACCAAAACCTTTAAGCCTCTACTCTCTAGATTCACAGCAGCGGCCACCCATCCTAGAGCTTGGTGTTTGGGGTCCTCCCTGGACCGTAGCCGTGGGCTCGTCTCCCATCCCCTCCACTGCTCTGGAGAGAGACAGTGTCACCTGTCAGCCATCTCTAGGGGTACCGGGATGGCCTGTGGGGCCAGTCCTCCTGCCCCACTCTGGGATGTGAGAATAGGAGCATATGCTCCACTGAGCACACAGAGTCCATCACGGGCCATCCGGCACACCCTCCGCTGCCAAGTCTCCACCAGGAGGTTTTGATGGTAAAATGAAGACCGTGGGAAAGTTGTTGGACACAGTCCCAGGCAGGGCTGTGACTGGTCAGTAGATTGGTTCTGAGAGAAATGAGTCTGTACAGCAACGTCTTGACTCCCTTTGGAAACTTGGCTAGGGCTACTTACCACAAGGGTCTGTCCACAGACCCTCCGTGTCTGGTGCTCGCTCAGACAGGGTTTGACAGCACATCGGATCTTTCCAACGGCCGCAGTCCCTGACCCACCATGAACCAGACAGAGTTGAACCAGCCATCTGGGCATTGCTACCCCCTGCCATGAAACCTGCTGTGTTCCGAGTTACTGGCAGGTGCCATGACAGGTCCACCCCGAGGAGTGAGTCAGACTGCGGCTAAAACAAGCTCTCTTGACCTCAGCGAGACCCGACAGGAAGTCGATGGCCTCCTCTCCTGCCCCCTGTCGGGCAAATTAAATGGGCCCGGACCAGTCCGCGGGTAAAGGTGCTCCTCACCAAGTTGACAGCCCGGGTTAGATTTCCGGGATGCATATGATGAAATGGGAGCGTTGTCTCCTGAAAGTCGTCCTCTGACCTTCACGCATGTGCCCTGACCCGTGCAGGCCCACTCACTCACACACAGTTAAATAAATGTAATTTTTTAAAGTTTAAATAATAGGTCCAAGGCTTCTAGGAGAAAGACTCCAGAGAGGGAAGCAAGTAGGATTGTCACAAAACCCTCTGGTTTCCCAGGCAACCTGCCAAAGAAAAAGGAAAGAACCAGTCCTTGGTCGTGGCGTGTGCCTGTGGCCAGGAGAGGAAAGAAAGGAAGATCTAGGGGGACAGGATTAAGGGCCACCCACAAAAGGCCCAGGCACAGGGCTCCAGAGACAAACAGGCAGTTGTGGGAACCACGGCCAGGTGGAGGCATCGGAAATGGGGTCCTCACTGCTGCGAACCCCAGGCACACCTCCGTGCCCTTGAGACTGAAGCCCAGGACCAGCTCCCCTCACTGCCCAGCCTTCAGAAGGCAATGGTGGCAACGCTGTCCTGGCCTTTGGGGCATTTCTTTGCTTGGACACTAAAAGCCAGCATGGCCAGTACCCATCCATGTGCTCTCTGCTAATCTCCCTGCCCACAGCAGTGCTGGGAACTGGCTCCCGTTGTGCCTCACTAGAGGTAGAGAGTCACCTTCCTAACACAAGGACAAACCTCACAGGCTACCCAGTCCCGGGTCCTCTGTTGTCCTAGCAGGCTGGGACCCTCGCTTGCTCTTAGTCTCTTACTCAGCCGTGAATCCAGCCACTCTCCACACCTCCATCCATCTGTCTCACTCGCTCACCCATGTTTGCTGCACACCTCTGTTGGGTGAGGTTTGTTTCTAAGAATACGGAGATGCAACTACAACCCAGACCCTGGTCCCACCTCACAGCCAGCATCAAATAGACTGGTGGAGCGTTAGACATCAGCTCCCATGCCAGCCACATGTGAGGTCAAGTGCAGACTCATACCGTCTCTTCAAGGCCTGCAGCCCTAGCTCAGGCAGGGCTGTGGGGCTCAGAGGACAGAACCATACATTGTTCTGGGACCAGCTGTCACCCGCCTTCCCCTGGAAGAGCCGAATGAACGCAAGGAAAGAAGGCTCTCTCGCGCTGGGCACCGAATGCTCAGAAATACCCTCCCTGTGTAGTTGCCCCTGTGTGGCCCAAGGACCCTGCTTGATGAAGAAGAACAACTATATATTTTAGTTGTTTGGTTTTTGTTTTTCAAGATCGGGTTTCTCTGTGTAGCCCCGGCTGACCGGAAACTCACTCTGTAGACCATGCAGACTTCAAACTCACAGAGATCCGCCCACCTCTGCCTCCAGAGTGCTGGGATTAAAGGTGTGCACCACCATCCAGCTGAACAGCTGTATTATAAATAACCAATCCTGTTGGGCGGTGGTGGCACATGACTTTAATCCCAGCACTCGGGAGGCAGAGGCAGGCTGATCTCTGTGAGGCCAGCCTGGTCTACAAGAGCTAGTTCCAGGACAGGCACCAAAGCTACAGAGAAACCCTGTCTCAAAAAACCAAAAAAAGGGGGTAGGGAGGGGAGGGAGAGAGAGAGAGCGCAAGAGAGCGAGCAAGCAAGCTTCTAGCCACTGGCAGGAACATTGTTTCCCCTGGCACATGTCTCCAGGGCCTGTACATCCATCACTTTTTAAGGAAGTAGACTTTTCCTGGCACTGGATATTTTCTCCTAGATTCTATACTTTGAAGGGGGGGCTGGCATTCAAATGCCAGCGTGTTGAAAAGCTGAGTTTCCCGTTTCATTCTGTGATTTATGTGCATACAAAGATGTGAAGTGGGCAGAGGGTGCCGACACCCATCTGACCGTGTCACCATCTGACACGCCCTTGTCAATATTCTCAGCTGGAAAAGAAGCAAGCCCTGCCTCCCTTCCAGCCCCAGATCACAGATGACTATGGCCTGGACAACTTTGATACGCAGTTCACCAGTGAGCCCGTGCAGCTGACTCCAGATGACGAGTAAGTCCTGGACAGGACCCTGCAAGGTGCAAAACACCCTGATTTGCACCCCCACATGTCCTGAGTAGCCCAGCTCCATAGGCAGCCTGTGCCCAGACCAGTGCATGGCCTCGTAACTGGGTTCCTGCTTCTGCCGCGTGGGCCGGTGGGAAGGATGGTGCCTGAGGGAGGGACACGGATGCCACCCTTCACCTCCTTCCTGTGCTCCTAGGGACGTCATAAAGAGGATTGACCAGTCTGAGTTTGAAGGCTTTGAGTACATCAACCCGCTTCTGCTGTCTGCTGAGGAGTCCGTGTGAGGCCATGAGCGTCTCCGTTGTGGACACGCCTGTGAATGACCCTGTCACTTTACCCTTAACCACAGCATATGCATGCCAGGCTGGGCACGAGGCTCCGAGCAGCCAAGGAGGGATGCTGGCCACCGAGACCGCAGAGGGGCATCCAGCAGGCACTTCTGGACAGAGCAGTCTCTTGTGTCCAGGCCCCAGAGGCTGGCTTTGTGCTGGAGGAATAGCTTCCTGTGCCCGTGGCAGCCCTACCAGAGGGCAAGACAGTCACGCCATTCTGAAGGTGCACATTTTCCACAGAAACAGAACTCGATGCACTGACCCGCTCCAGGAAAGTTAGCGTGTAATGCCCTGAGGAATAAAATGTACCGATGATGTCGAAGCTTCCTCTGCTGCCTTTTTTCTGAGTGGCACCCACCTGACGTCCCCAGCGCAGCCCCTACATGAGGAGGAGCTGCGTGTTCCGAGCAGGCAGAACGTAGGCAGGGGACGGGCACCCAAGTGCCTGCAGGATTGCACTGCAACGAGAATTGTTACAGATTCGGAACGTTTTTTCTAAATCCCGGTAAGTTCTGTTGTTAATATTTAACATGTATTTTCATACCCAGCGCAGCTAGCCGCGGTAGTCCAAGGCTGCAGTGACATCCTGGCCAGGTTGGTGGCGCTGTTCCCACCAGCCCTGTGGACTCTGATGGGGGAAACTGGATTATAGCGATTCTAAAACATTGCTCACCAAAGCACCAGTAAAACCAAATAAATAGGTAAATAAATAAAAAGGGAAAAAATAATTGAAAACTAAATCTGCAAAAAAAAAAAAATACATTTCTGAAAACACTAGCCAGTGCCTCCAAGATGTCTTGTGTTATACATTAGATTTTTTGGAAAATATTTTTATCACTAATACTCCAGATTAGAAAAATTTAAAGACACGTGTGTGACGGACCCTAGCCTTAATGTGACAGAATACCCATAATCCCATACTCATACTGAGGAAGTGTGACAGCTTCCACAACAGTTGTGCTTGGCCATCCTCCTCCTCAGATTAGAGGCAGTCAGGAGGCCAGCCCGAGGCTTTCTGGAAAGAGGTTAGCTAAGTCCTCAGGTCAGGTGTGTCAGGAGCCATCATTTAAGCACCTTGGTAGTGGGCAGGAGACAGAGATGCCACACTCCAGTAACGGAGCACCCCAGGTCTCCCCGAGCCAGGCTGACCCAGGTAGCAAACAGGCTACATACCCCCAACCCTGCCAGAGCGAGACCTGGCGTCTCCACGTGAGGCAGGGTGGAGTCCAGTCACGGCTGCTTCATGCACGCCTCGGGGCTGGAGGCCCTGTCGAAAAATCTAAGTCAGAGAAAAGGAAAACTAAGAGGCGCTGTCCGCCATGCTGCCCCGTGGCCACCCGCAGCCCTCGCCCCAATACACTCAGGTTTCTCAGGCCTTCGCCATGTCCGGCGCTGAACACATCAGAGCCAACCCAGGTGCTGGGACAGAGCCCCAGGTGCTGGGACAGAGCCCCAGACGGCCCAGGCTTCTGGGTGGCTCTGTAACGCCCATTGAACGTGGACACATTTCAACCAGCACTCCTAGTGTCCATCAGTAAGACTAACCCCCAGCAACTGGCTAAAAAAAAAAAATGCAAACACAGCCTAAGAGCCAATGTTTGGGCCTCCCATGGGTGCCCAGCCCAGCCTGGGGATGTCCAGGTGGCTGGAGCCCCAGTCTGAGGGCTGTGCAGTCACACCCACCTATGAGCCACGCTGCTAAGATGAAGAGCCCACAAGTGGTCCAAGAGCAAACCGGCTCCTGCTAGCTCCTGTCCTCCCAGTGTGCTGCCTAGGGAGAGCAACAACTCCTTTGCCCAAACAGCACAGGGGCCCTTGGTTTGTTAGAAATGGGGGTGTATATTTGGATACTGCCCTATTGCCAAATGACTTGCTGGTTACTGGTTCGGCTGCTCATGTATAAATGTGTGAATAGCATTGTGCCCACCAGAAGGGGAGATTTTTATATATAGTAATTTGTTTTATAAACTAAAGAAAGCAAAGGATGTATTGAAATGTGACTGGGGGGGTGGGGTGGGAAATACCCTAACGTTTGCAAACGGCTCCGGGCAAGATAGCGTGTGTCTTTTAAAAAAATGGTTCACGAACACTGGTGACTCTCATGATTGTAAAGCAGTGACCATAACCATGTGGTTTTGTACAATTGATCAGTGGAGCCCATCGCTGGCCAGCGTTCCTTCTGTGGATGCTGTTCTCGCCCTCCACGGCCAAGGTCGTTCGTATTCTTGCACATCTATTAAAGACTTTGATGAAAACACCCTTACTGTTCTTGTGTTCGACGTAGGTTTCTGGGGAAAGTAAAGGGTTTTGCTCCGTCCCCTAGAAGTCCCTTCCTAGAAGACATTTAGGCTCACAACACAAAACAGAACAAGTGTCCCAGATACCCAGTACCACTGTCACCATCCCCCCGAAATGAGTCTGTCCTCACAACTGAAGACTCCCGTTTCTCACCTCTTTCCTCCTGAGGTCCCCACGTCCGACTGTAGCGTCAGACTCCACTGCCGCACATCCCCGACTCCCCCCAGCTCTGTGCTGTCTCTGCAGTTTTACTTTCTCGGGTTATAGCTTTGGGATCGCCGTTACAACAGGGCCAGCCTGACTAGATTAGGAGTGGAAACCGGGAACACACTTTTGGGGTATCTGTAAGGGTGTTTTCAAAGATGGGTGTAAGCCTCGCTGGACCAGGTGAGAAGTGTTCTCCTTAGTAGATGCCATCCAGCCAGTCACATCAGAGCTCCGGGTTGTGTATTCCTACCCGTTCCCTGGGACACACCCCAGGCCCTCCGACTGAGGCCGTCACCATTGGTGCCCCTGGTTCTGGGACCTTTGCCTTAGACTGAGTGAGCTGCCAGCTTCCCAGGATCTCCAACCTACAGGTAGTTGTGGGAGACTCTTCACCCCCTGTGACCAGGGAACCCTCTCCCATCTGTCTGTACCTATCTCATGGCTCCCCTCTAGGAGAACCCTGACATAGGAGCCTTTTCATCTGGCAGCACAGTTAGTTTGGGGTAGCTTGACTTTTGAAGGGTTGCTGGGCAGTGCACCCCCTCCCAGGCTTTATACACCGCAGGTAGGTCCCCCCAATCACTACACTGTGCCTTGCCCCCTTCACCTGTTCTTATGGTTTATATGAAACCCTGTTTGTTTTTGAGACAGGGTCTCCTGTAATCCAGTTTGGCCTTGCATTCACTTTGTAGGAGAGGCTGGGCGTGAACTCCTTGGCCTTCACCTGCCAAGTGCTGAGATTCTACACATCCAACTCGAGGAAACCGTTCTTCCAAGGAAAATGTAGATTTTCTGCTTAACTCAGCCTTTCAAACCACGCCTACCGCTAACCCCAGGCCAACACTTGTTTCTCTAGACAAGAAGGTCAGGCACGAAAGGATTTAGTAGTGGACATTGTAATCCCAGCACTCGGAAGGTAGTGACAGGAAAATCAGATTGTCCTCGACCACACAGTGAGTTCAGAACACAAAGGGGGAAGGTACTGGGCTGGTATCAGAGCCCCCTATCTAGAATCTGGGCTTTAGCACAAGAAGAAAAAAAAACCACCTAAATTTGCTTTCTTATGTCAGCCACATTTCACATGTGGATGGCAAGTGTGGCCCGTATCTCTCCCTTAAATTCTCTTTTTCAGGATCCACTTTGATGTGAAGTGAAGTGGCTCTGAGCCCCGCCCCTTAGCTGTAGGTAGGGTTGCAGAAGCTCCACATGCTGTGGAAGTCAGCTCTAGCAGCCAGGACACATTCCTTGCCGCCCAGTGTCCGACTAGAACCAGGGGTTGGTTCAGGCTGAAGAAATGCTGTCCCATCAAGACATTCCCCAGCATAGGTAGACACCATGCTTCCAACATGGTCCTGGAAACCGAGGAGCCAACCAACTTCTGGTGGAGGTCCATGAGGCCACTGGGGTTCCTGTCTCCTAGGCTGCTTGGCCCTCATGACCGTCACCTCCCTAGGGTTCCATCTCTACATCACTGTCCCCAGGGGTGAGGGCCTCGGTACAGTCATTGAGAGATAAGCTTTCAGCCTGCAGCATTGTGTTTCTGAATGGAGAGCGGAGTGCATTTGGGGGAGTGAAAACATGACTGGGACTACCAACATCTTCAATGGTTAGGACACACTGCTCTCACAAAGGACCCAAGTTTGGTTCTCAGCAGTTCAAAACTGCCTATAACTACAGCTCCAGGGGATCCAACACCCTCCTCTGGCCTCTGTGGGCAACCATACTCACATGCACACAGACACATGGATACATATCATTAGCTTTGTCTTTTTTATCAGTCTTAGTCAGGAGAAGGGTATTGCCTGTGTGTAAATGCTGACTTGGGTAGAAATACCCAATTCTGCCTTGTGACAGTCTGGCTCCCCTGCCTGGGTGGGGTTCTTCTTGCCATGACAAAATACTTGATCAAAGCAACTTAAGATTCATTCGAGGGGCTGGAGAGACGGCTCAGTAGTTAAGAGCACTGACTGCTCTTATAGAAGTCCTGAGTTCAATTTCCAGCAACAACATGGTGGCTCACAGCCATCTGTAATGAGATCTGGTGCCCTCTTCTGGACTGCAGGCATATATGGAGGCAGAATGTAGTATACATAATAAATAAATACTTTTTAACAAAAGATTTATTCTGGCTCACGGTTGAAGGTACAGTCCATCGCGGCAGGGAAGGCACAGCAGCAAATGCAGCTCTGGTGGCCAGGTGAGAAGAGCATCCGTCCCCAGTCAGGAAGCAGCTCGATTTCTCCTTTTTCCCTTTTCATTCAGTGAGACCCCAGGCCACAGGACGGGACACCCACATCCAAGGTGGGTCTTCCATTCTCAGTTAACCTCTGGAAACAGCTTCACAGACACAGCCTGAGGTCTGTCTGATAGGTGATTCCAAACCCAGTTAAGCTGGCAATGGTAGGGCCTGGTGCTGTCTGAACCACAGCGATCAGCATTATGCTCGGTGCCCACAAATGAAACCAGAAGGCACCTGTGCTCAGATGTCCACACAAGCAAAGCCTGTGCTCAGATGTCCACATGGACACAGAAGCCTGTGCTCAGATGTCCACATGGACACAGAAGCGTGTGCTTAAATGTCCACACAGACACATCCCAGCAGTCACATCCTTGTGTCAGTATGTACGCTGGGAGGAGGGGACAGGAGACCACGCTGCCGCTCACCACACCACGTCTTCTGTGCTTTCAGCTAGGCACTGAGCAAGGTGGCTATCCACATCCAGCTGGGCTAGCCTGCAAGAGGGAGGAAACAGTCACAAGGCCTCCCGGAGACTCATTCTGTAGACCAGGCTGGCCTGGGACTCACAGAGATCCATCTGCCTCTGCCTCCCAAGTGCTGCGATTAAAGGCGTGCACCACCACCTCCTAGCAACTCCACCTATTTCTGAACTCTTCCCTGCCTAGTTAATTTAAGGAAACAGTCAGTAGGGTTCGCCAGGACCTTAGTGGGTTGAGTTCGGCCTTCCTTGTTACTTGAGAGCCCTTCTTAGCCCTACAGACTCATACCCTGACCAATGTCTGAGAAGCTCCCACCTCATCTGTTGGCTCATTCATCGTGGCCCATGCCAAAAGCTTGACCCAAAGACTCTCTGGAGCTAGCAAGATGGCAACCGATGACCTGAGTTCAATCCCGGAACCCACACAATGAAAGGAAAGAACTCTCCCAGCAGCCAGCTCAGCTTGTATGTGCTGAGGCTGGTGAGCTTACCCACAGACGTCCTGAAGAGAAACCCTACGAGTTCTGAGTGTCCTCTGGACATCTTGCTGATGCCCGTCACCTGCCGTCACAAGCATCCCAGGCCTCATGCTAGTCCACCCGGATCCATGGCAAGGATGGAAACAGACCTCCCCTAAGATGCACAACAGAGAATGGACGGACAGCAAGGTCCCTCGCCTGATTCCCAGCTCCTGTGACGTCCAGTGGCCCCCTAACTTGGTAGTCCCCGACAAATGGTCTCTGAAGTCCCTGAGAGCCCCTCAGCCAATCTAACCAAGGTATTAGCACTTCCTCCTCCTGGCTTTCTCCGACGCACATCAAAGTCCTGTGTACCTCTCAGCCATCTGAGTTTCCAGGCAGCATCCCTCAGGTGGGTTCTCAGGGATTCCTCCAGATACCACCCCACAACAAAGTAGCTGTTTTCACAGCTGGGCTTCTGCTAACTCCCAGACACAGCTGGGTCCTGGCTGTGGCTAACCAGCATGGATTCGGGGACATCAGGCCCAGAATCGGAATATGAACAAACTATTAGAGTCACAGCTGTGAGCCAGGCGTGGTACACACCTGTCTTCCCAGCTACTCTGACGGCTGAGCAAGAAGACTACCTGGCCTCTCTGAAGGGCATCCCCAGGCTCATTTGAGGGTGGGCAGCAGTGTCTGCACACACTGCCCTCAGGGGACAACATGACAGCTCAGTCTGGGTCTAGCTGCTATACCTACCAGCCCAAGGCCAGTCTGCCTCCTAGCCTAGGTCTTGCCCACTGTGACAACATCCTGTACTGGGGCAGGAATGAAAGGAGGCTCCTTCAAGGGCATGGGACATGAGTTCCTCTCAGCCAGCCCGATGACGTGGCTGCCACCTCCAAGGGTGAGGTTGGCCCAAAACATCCTAGCTGCTCTACCGTTTGATGTAACAGCATGTTACAGTCACTGCCGACTTGAGCCTGCCTTGTTGATACCCACTTAGGACAGCCACTTGAGAGGCGCCCAGTGGGCAGAGCTTCCCTCTTCAATGCGCTGTCTTCAGGAGTCTTAGCCTAGAAATGCAAGGACAGCACAGGCAAAAGCCCTCCTGAAACAAGAGAGGGTAGGAACCCTGGCAAGATCACACAGGTTCTGCGAACATGAATTTCACAAAAGGGTTCCCAATCCCAGCTTCTGCCCCTGGGTCCCTTGAAGGGTAAAAAGCAAAGAGATGTCAACTTTGCAAACCGTTCACTGTCACATCAACAGGACCCACTCAGGGATAACCACAACCTGATTCGAGCCAGCTCACACCCAACATCCCTTTGTCTGAGCTGTGTGGTTATGGGTAGAGATACTTGTTGCTGAGGGTTAGGATTGGGGCTCCTCCCAAATTCATAAAGGCTCGATTCTGATAAAAAGTCACATTTTGGAGGCAGGGGAAATGGCTCCATTGACAAAGTACCCGTTGTGCAAACATCATCCACATAAAAGGGCAAGCACTGGCAGCATGCCACACAACCCAAGTACTGGGGGTGGCAGCAGACGGGGTGGATCCCTGGAACTCATCTGGCCAGCCTAGCCAAATCAATGAGTCTAGGTTCAGTGAGAGACTGTCTCAAAGAATAAGGTGGGGCTAGCCAGTGGTAGCACACACCTCTAATCCCAGCACTTGGGAGGCAGAGGCAGGTGAATCTCTCTGTGAGTTTGAGGCCAGCCTGGTCTACACAGCTAGTTCCAGGACAACTGGGGCTGTTACACAGAAAACCCTGTCTCAAGAATAGATAGATAGATAGATAGATAGATAGATAGATAGATAGATAGATCTTATCTAAGATGAGATGAGATAAGATAAGATGAGATGAGATGAGATGAGATGAGATGAGATGAGATGAGATGGAGCAGGGAGCTGGAAAGATGGCTCAGCGGTTAAGAGGTAAGAGCACTGGCTGCTCTTCCAGAGGTTCTGAGTTCAATTTCCAGCAATCACACAGTGGTTTGCAACCATCCAGAATGAGGTCTGGTGCCCTCTTCTGGTCTGTAGGCATACCTGCAGGCAGAGCACTACACATAATTTAAAAAAAAAAAGGTAAAAAGTGATCAAGAAAAACACTTGACCTGGCCCCCATATACATGGGCATGTCTGCACACAAACCTACATAAACATATACATACACCACACAAACAATAATAAGCATGTTTTGGTTTGTTTTGTGTTTTTGAGAGAGGGGGGCCTCTCTACATATCACTGTTCTGGAGCTCACTATGTAGATCAGGCTGGCCTTGAACTCACAGACGTCTGCCTACAGCACTCGCGGCTCAGGACCAATTGTTTTAAAGAATGTTTGGCGGACCTGTTGGGCTCTGAACTAGGGTTCCACCTGCCATATCTTGTGATAACCAAGCTCACTTTGTGATTCACTTCTGGTTTTGTCAACTTAGCAGCTAACTTTGGAGAATCCATTTCCTTCCCAGGCTGTTTCTACTTCAACACATGGGATGCCATCTAAAACACACTGCCTTTGAGTCTGGCATCAGTGGGTTCAAGTTCTGCAAGTTTCTGGATTACCTTAAGTAGCCAAAGCTAATCAAATGTGGCGGTACATTTTTGAAATCCCAGCATTTGGGAGGCCAAAGAAAGAGCATCACCGAGAGTCAAAAAAAGGCTAGCAAGATGGCTCAGCAAGGAAAGGCACCTGCTGCCAATCCTGAGTACGTAAATTCAATTCCGAGGGTCACACAGTGAAAGGTGAGAACAGACTTCAGCAAGTTTTCCTCTGACCTCCACATGCATGTATGCCATGCATGACACATATATGTAAATATTTTAACTTAAATATCAGTTAAATAAACCTGGCGGTGGTGGCCCACACCTTTAATCCCAGCACTCTGGAGGCAGAGACGGGCAGATCTCAGTGAGTTCGAGGCCAGCCTGGTCTACAGCGTGAGCTCCAGGACAGCCAGGGCTATACAGAGAAATTCTATCTCAAAACAAAAAAAAAAATTAGTTAAATAAATAAAAAGAGCCACATCCAGGCACTCTCTCAGCCTCCCAAGCAGGAGGTTTTGCCTAGGGCTAAATCTTATACCTAAGGTCTGAGGTGGAATACTCACTTCGGGTCAAATGCTTTCTGGCACAATGGGCAGTTCAGCAACACCGGTGGATTCTGCACGGACACACACTCTTCCGTGCTGGGAATCTGCCGGGAATCTGGTGCAGGATATCCTTTCAAGGATGGAGTAGGTGACCCCAGGGAGCCTCCAGTCAACTGGTAGGAGTTTCCAGAACCACCAAGGGCAGGTGGAAAAGGCGTCCAGGAAAAAGTCTTGGATCCCACAGTGAAGACCTCGGGAGGCTCTGAGTCAGGCAGAGACTCCTGAAAAACAGATGCCCATGAGGTCATAGCCGCCGCCACCATGACCTCCCCCAGGGCCTGGGAACGCTCTCTGAGCCCATCCCTTAGTGTTTCTGGACACACCTGGCCTGGCAAAGCTGGCAGTGGTGGCAATGGCTCAATTTTCGGGGTCAAATCCACGTTCCCGCTCACAGTGCTACTCAGCAGGGCAGCCCATGGCTCTCTCTTACGGTCCTCCAAGAGAAACCAGGGCGGGCAGTTGGGGGCCCTGGGAAGCACAAGGGGTGTCAGCCAGGGAATCCATGGTAGAGTGTCTCCAGAAAAGGGTTCCACAAGGGAGGTCACGAGGGGCTCTAAGGGAGGGGCAGCAAGACTGGGGGAGGGGGCGGAAGGACTCGACGGTGGACTCGGGGGGGGGGGGTCCGAAGTGAGGGATAAGGAGTGCGGCTCACGTCGGAGGCTAAGTGGGCTCTAGGGGCAGTGGAGCCTGGGGCTGGCTACGCAGGGAGAGCCTCGATAGGCGACGGAAAGAGGGGTGAGGGGGTGGGTGGTGGGGGAAACTGCAGGGTTGGGCGGAAGAAGCGACCGCGCCCGGAGAAAGGCGGAGCGTTGCTGGGGGCAGGCCTCACAGTGGCGGGGTGCAAGTGTGCAAGGAACCCCGCACCTAGACGGGAAAGTCGCGGTACCCCCATTGTCTTCCCGCGGCCCCACCGCCTACCCGAACCCCCAGCGCCCCCACCCTCTCCCTTCCATCCCGCCTCACCCGCCCCCTGCGGGCGGCCTGCGGCGGCTCAGCCTCCCCCGGAGCCTCTGCTCCTCCTCCATCCTTCTCCCAAGAGCGTCCGGCGGAAGTGAGACGTACAACCCGACCCGCCCTCCGACCCGGACCAGCTCCCGTGGCCTCCAGACACCCCCCCCCCCACTACCCACTCTGCCGAGTGCCATCTCCCCTTTGTGACACTTGAGAATTAAGGCGCCGGAATCCTAACCTTTTGGGGGGCACTACGCTGCCGCCTTGAGGGAGGGACAGGACGGTAGAGCTGCCCCCCACCCCAGCTTGCAGGCGTGCGAGGCTGGGCCCACCCGACCCTGTGCAGGCCACTCTGGAGCCTGGTGTACCCTTCTGTTAACAACACGTGCATGCAGATAGCTGTCAGGCTTGCCCTGCCCATGCCACCTCCCGGCGGTGCTAGACAATGCTCTGCCTCAGTTTCCAGTTCTGCAGCCTTTCCCAGGATGGTCCCATGGACAGGACTTCCAGATTCAACTTTACCACCATTTTTTTCTTCTTATGGAAGGAACTGGGTTTCTCCACCGCAAAGCTCAGGAGACCAAGCACAGAAACCCGGGCTTCCTATCCAACCAATAAACCCGCCCTGCAATTCTGCAGTCCGTCACTTGGTGGCAGCAGACGCCCAGGCACTTAGTGTATATTGGCGTACACTAGTGGCTTTCTATTTCTCCACAGCCCCCAGGGGTCAGGACTGTTCCAAAAGCCCCCGTCCTGCAACCATCTGACTCCCTCACCCCTCCCTCTTCCTAGGTCCTCTTCCCTCCCCCTCTCCCCTGCTCTCCCCTCATCAGAACCTTGCCTCCCATCCCTAGGCGAGGTCACCCCCACCGTGTGTGGTCCAGCCTGGAAGCTGCATCCAGGCCAGGGTCTGGGGATGGATTCTGGACTGAGGTTGCCTTTTATCTCTGCAGATTTGAAGAGGATGAGAAGTTTAATCTCCAAAGGGTCCTAGATCACACACCAGGTTCTGTTCTAAGGTCTTTTTAGAAAGTGGCCATCTTGGGAACCTGCCTCTCCTAGGCTGAAGAACCAGAGCGTTGGTCAAAGGTGCAACCAATGGCTGCCCATGCAGGAAGGGCCAGGGTGGGATGGTCTCATGTTGAACCGTCAGGGATGACCTGCGACTGGGCCACCCAGGTGAGAGGGCGGTTGTGAGGAGTCCCAGGTCTAAGAAGCGCGTGCTGTCCCTGGCTCCCACTGACCTGGCTCCTGAGCTCTTGATGAAAGTATCACTGTACTTTTGCAGGGAACCCTGAGGACTCTAGGAGGTCTGGCACCAACTCCCAAGCAGGAGGAAGGCCAGAGGAGGGTGCCCAGCCGAGTGCTGAAAGGGCCCTGTGTGGGCAAGAAGGCCCAGCTGGAGCACACCCTAAAACCAGAGCGCAGGGGCCTCCCTGAGATTTTCAGCATACCAGCCTCTTCCGTACCCCTCCTCTACAGAGCCCAGATGTCCTGACTGCCTACACAGGTGCAACAACCAGCCGGCCCAGAGGGTCAGCGTGAAGCAGGGCTGGAGCCTGTGTGGCTACCCAGGCAGACTTACCCCAAAACTGCGGACTCCCGAAGGAGTCATCTCTTCAAGCACCCTGAGGCTAAGGGCACAGAGAGTGGGGCTCCCGACCCCATTATCTTTCGGCCTTGGCCGCTTCGATAGATGTTTGGCTGTCAGAAGAAAGGGGCGCTGGCCCCAGCATAGCCTGCCTCAGCCGCAGAACACGAGACCTCCAGGTTTGGCACTCAGACAAGTATGAACGCTGTTCTTCTGGGACTTTGCTGCATCCCCAGGATGTCCCTCTTCCTTCACTGCCCCCAGGACAGGGGCCAGCAGAGGCCTTGTGCCGGCAACCTGGAACTCCTCCACAGAGGACGGAATAAAGAGATCTGCTGCTCTATGTGGAGCAAGTGAAGCTCTGCCGACACCCCTCTTGTAGGCCACTGCCCCTGCAGTTTGAGTTCACCCAGGAATTATAGGATCCAGCCATTTCTAAAAAAAAAAAAAAAAAAAAAAGATTGATTTTTTTTTTATGTGTATCATTGTTTTGCCTTCATACATGTGTTTATGCCAAGTGTGTCTGGTGCCCGCAGAGGCCTGAAGAAGGTCTTAGTTCCCCTAGAAGTAGGGTGAGTTGTGAGCTACCATGTGGGTGCTGGAAATGAACCCAGGTTCTTTGCAAGAGCAGCAAGTGCTCTTAACCACTGTGTCGTCTCTAGGCCCAATCCAACCATTTTTCAGAACCTGAGGAGGCAGAAATAGGGGTGATGGGCAACCCCAACAAACCCACTTTGTCCCAGCTGTCTGCAAAGTATTATTACAATGGGCTTTAAAAGTCGAATTTGGGTGGTAGTGGTTCACAGCTTTAATCCCAGCACTTGGGAGGCAGAGGCAGGTGGATCTCTGTGAGTTTGAGGACAGCCTGGTCTACAGAGTGAGTTTCAGGACAGCCCAGGCTCTGTAGAAAGACCCTGTCTCAAAAAATAAAACCAAAGAGTTGACTTGGGTCTGGAGAGATGGAGTGGTGTGGTAAATCCTTGCTGACTGTGCAAGGATAAGGAGCTGAGTTCAGTTCTCAGAGCCCACGTGAAGCCAGGCATGACAGCCTGAGTGTGTGTGTGTGTGTGTATGTATGTGTATGTATGTATGTGTGTAATGTATGTGTGTAATGCATGTATGAAATGTATGTATATATGTATTAGTGTATTTATTATGTAATGTGTGTATGTATGTGTGTATGTAATGTGTATGTCTAATGTTATGTACGCATGTAATATATGTATGTGATGTATGTATGTACGTAATCCCAGTGCTGCTGTGAGACGGGAGGCAGGAGCAGAGAAATCCACGACCCCTCCCTGAAGCTTCTGAACCAGCTAGCCTTGTGTACACAGAGCCAAACAAGGTGGAAGGTGAGGACCAACAGTGGAAGTTGTCGTCTGACCTCCACGCCCGCCCTGCGGTGTGCATGTCCGTCCTCACACCGCCACAGAGGGGAGTAATTAGAGTCAAAGTTGAACTTGATGAGAAGATCCTGGGCCATGTGCTGGGGTGAAAAGGGATTAACTTTATTGGAAAATAATTTTTCTGGCTGGGAATGACCCTTGACCCTCGCACTGCAGAAACAGCTTTGTTCTGAGACAAAAGTTCACGTTTACAGAAGGATACTTCAGCCTTTCGGAGGAGACACACGGGGGAAACAGAGAGTGCTCTCCAGCGTGGGAAGCAATAAAAGTGCCCCACAGTGAGGACCTCCTGGGCTTTGTCCAGGAGACATTTTGTTTGTTGTTTGTTTGTTTGTTTGTTTTTAAAGACAGCGTTTTCTGTAGCTTTGAAGCCTGTCCTGGAACTCACTCTGTAGACCAGGCTGGCCTCAAACTCACAGAGATCCGCCTGCCTCGGCCACTCAAGTGCTGGGATTAAAAGCATGTGCCACCACCGCCCCGGCAGACCATATTTTTTTGGAGAAAGAGCCCAAACTCCACCCTCCAAAGTTAGTCTCAGAAATGAAGAGGTTCTGAGATTGGTGTCTCCACGAGCCTTTTTTTCAGGGTGGTGCTAACAGGGTTCTAACTCCTCACTATGCTAGGCTGGCCCCAGGATTGGTCTCTGCCACTAACAGGGGTTTATCAGCTGCTGGGCTAGGTGAAGCTGTCCATCAGGCCCCAGTCTTCAGCTGCTGGGGTAGTCCGAGTCCTACTTGGCTCTCCATACTCTCCTTGCCTTCTTGGAGACGGGTTTACCATTAATTTACCTTACATGTGGGTCATGACAGCATCTGTGTCCGAGCCCGGAAAGGAACACAGGCTCTAGCTTTCAAGTGGGACCCGTGATAGGCGGGCACGCTTGGGTACATGCTGGTGGCACTCAGCTATCCTCATTCTTCCGTATGGCAGCATGGGGTATCCCAGCAATACTCACCGGCTGTGTGAGGATGTGCAAGAGGCCTGGGAGGCCTCCTCTGCCCAAGAAGCCTCATGACACAGTCAGGCAGCGGGCTGTGTTCTGTGTATGCCAAGCAGGCAAAGCTGCCTGGAGCCAGGCACGGCGGCATTTATGGGGTGTGGGAGTGCCAGGCAGACAGGCTGTATGAGACAGTTGCCTGGGAAACATCGCTGGATCCGTCAGGCAGCAGAGTGGTTGTTCAGGCCCGCACATGGGGTGTGGGGGCAAGGGTGTGCGGGGGAAGGGGGAGGCTCAGACATTATGGTTCCCTTACAGTACCTCCTCATGCCTCCAGACTAGGATCATGGCTAGAACCTGCACGTGGTCAGCGGGTCAAAGCCAAGGGTGGGGCAACCGTACCCAAAACGCCAAAGGACGCTAGGAGAGAGTAGGCTGGGGGCGAGACCTTGCCTGTTTCAGCTCTAACTCCTCGTCCCCCCCCCTCTGGCCAACGCTTCCACCTGGCCACTCCAGTCTGTTCACAGTGATCCTTCGGACGTACTTTTACAAACCCTCTCAAGGCCCAGCTCACACTCAGTCCAGGGCCTGTGTCTTTGTTGGCCCTTCCCCAGGTGGCTACCTCCTGCAGCCCCTAAGGCCCAGCCTTAACAAGAAGCCTCTCAGCCCTGCCCCCCACCCATGCCCTTCTAGGTTTTCCTGAATTACTGCAGGGTAATTTCCAGAGGGCAGTCCTGTATGCTGTGCCCCCGCGGTGTCCGGAGCTTCAGAGGAACTGCGGGACCACAGGTACAGCAGCGACAGGGACCAAGCCCTACGGAACAGGGGCAGCGGAAGGGGAAAACTGGGGGCCCTCTCCTGTGGAGATAACAAGTCAAGCAGAAACCAAGCTTTCCTGGTGTAAGGGGTGAGTGGGAACCCCAGGGGACTCCCCAGGGAGGCTGTGGTTTCTCAGCTCCCACAGAGTCAGCCTTGACCCGGATCCAAGAGCATTTACAGGAAACCTGCTCATGGGAAGGCCCTTGACCCAGATGCTGGAGGTCCCTCGAGCTTCTGGGCCCCTCAGCCAGGTGGGGTTCGGGTTTCCAGCAGCATCTGAAGTACACAGACTATGGGTGGTGTTTATCTCCACTATCAGTTTCGGGCTGTGGCCG